AGAAAAAATTTAATTTATATATATATATATATATATATATATATATACATACACACACACAACACACACATTACACATATACAATTTATATACAAATGTAATATATCAATATTGGAAATTTAATTGTGCATGCTCATTTTTCCCAATTTTCAAATTTGTATTGCTTTGCTGTTATCTAATGCTCACTTAGTTATTTTTTTAAAAACACAAACAATTCAGTAAATTAAATTAAATTAAAATTAAATATATTATAATATTACAATATTTAATTACATTGTTAAATGTAAAAATAATAAAAATAAGTAATATATACAATATAAAGTTGTAACACTTAAACTCAATTTTAGCATTTAAAAATATTACTAAAGCTATTTTAGTTTTTAATGTTTTATTTTGAAATTATTTAGTCAAATTAGTATATCTCATATCATGAAAATAATTATCATCAGCCAGAATATTAATATTAAAATCATATAATAATAAGTAAAATTATGTTTGCACAATTTCCATATAGTTGTAAGGGTGATGCATTAGTATGATGAATTTTGATTAGACTACAATATTCTGCATTGCCTATATTTTGTATATTTTCGCTTGATGATTTCTCTACATGTCTTTTCCCACTTATTTCTGGTCGTCCCCATGCACACTCATGTTCATCTGTCATTTATTTAAATGTTTTGTTATTTTGATATTGTTATATGATATATGCAACTTATGCATTCTGGTCCACAGATGCTCAGACTCGGTTGACCAAACTGAGAGCAGGCAAAACAGCAGGGAGACAAGACACAGAGTGAAAGCCCCCCTGGTGCTCTGCTTATAAAAGGCATAATTCCCCTCAGCCTTTGTTTTAGTCATGGACATAATTAATGAAATCTGAGGGTCAGGCTGGAAAAGATCAGTCAGTGATGAGTGTACAATAGCAGCACTCCTCCCTCCAACCCCTCCCTCCTTCCCCTCTGGGGGTGGAAGGAGAACACGAATGCTAATTCCGTTTGATTATACACACACCTTTATTAAATATTACACTGACCCCATGTGAGTGCGAGGAGGGAGGGGGCCAGGTGCGAGCGCTTGTTTTATGACACTTGTGCAAATGTCATGAGTGCCGGAGTTCGCCAGGCACAGAGAAACCCGGAGTCCTTACAGCAGTCGATCAAAAGGCCAGGCGCCCTGGGACACTCTGAGAAAACAGCAGCCAGCCATAAAAATTCAACACCTTAATGAGTTTAAATTTAATTTCAGCGTGTTGAACTTTGGCACCGGATTCTAAAGCTCGGTGTCTCACTGAAGGCGCTTTAACCGACTAATTACTGCTGTTCCAATTTGCTGCTGGATTTAAATAGAAGGAAAAGACATGAGGGAGAACAAAAAGGAAAAGTAAGAGTCCTCAGAGACTCGGAGAGTCTATCACGTTTGGCTATGTTGTCCACTGTGACTCTGGTATAGGGAACTGACACACATCCTTTAACAAGCGTTACACACCGCTCTGACTGTAGGCAGGACCCCTGGGCGAGGGTGGGGGGCTACACTCGACGCTCATATGATAGTGCACCTAACTGAGGCAGACGTGCGGCGGAGGCAGATGGCCTGTGTGCAGGAGGTGCTCGGTGCTGCTGATAGAACCTGAACTGAGATGAGACGAGGCTGTAGGCCTCACTCGCACAGCTCAAACTGGTGTATGTCAGCCACCGGCGATGCCCTGGGAAGAGCTAGCGTAGATAATAGCAGGGGAGATGGAGAGTTTCAACAGCAGGGGAAAAATAGTCTGGGGAACGATGTTGGGGAAGCTAAACTGTGGTTTGTGAAGCTATAGTGCAATCATGCTACCCTCTTGAAAAAGCAGTTAGCACCACTACAAGCTACAAATGAATAGAAGCTAGCTACATTACCATTCCAAAATTTGGGGTCGGTAAGATTTTTTTTTTTAAATGTTTTTGAAATTCTTTAAAGGGGTCATATGATGCTTTTTTAAAGATCATTATTTCGTGTATTTGGTGTAACAGAATATGTTGACATGCTTTAATGTTCAAAAAACACATTATTTTTCAAATACTGGAAAGGAAAACTTGAAATCGCATCATATGACCCCTTTAATACTTACTAAGACTGCATTTATAGTTAAAAAAAAGTATAAAATTTATTCTATTCCTGTGATGGCAAAGTTTTCAGCAGCCACTTCAGTCTTCATTGTCACATGGTCCTTAAGCAGATTTTAAGCATAAATAGACATTTCTCATTATTATCAATGTTGTAAATATTGCTGATTAATATTTTTGTAGAAACATTTTGTGAAAAATTTTTAATGAAAAAAAAAAACGTTTTTTAAACAATAGTTTAATAGAATAATATAAACTATTCATTTCTTTAAAGAAAAATCTTACTGACCCCAAACTTTGAATGGTAATAAATGTACATAGAAGATGTTTTTATTTATTTTGCAGAAAAAGCTGTATTTACTTTATCTTGTACAAAAATAATGAGGATCTCATATTGGGTAACACAATTAAACAGCATTTTAACTCAATTTTCACGAAATATCACTATATACAGTGTGTAAGATTATTATATAATAGACATTAGGGTTAGATTAGTCAGACATAGATTTTTTTGCACAAAACACATTAAAAAGGATATACTTTTATTATTCAGCAACAGCAGAAAGTCTGTTTTATACTGTAAGTGTGTAATCATATTTGGGTGAGTTTAAGACTTTTTATATCCATGTTAAATATAGAAATGCTAAGTAATAATATTCCAAACTGCAACCTTTATAGTCTTCCAGGATTCATATCATATTTGCAGTGTCCTGTTGAATGTTTTCCTGAAGGTGTATTGCATATTAAGTACAGAATTACATATTTTAGATTAAGGAACTTGATTTTAAAGCATTTCGATAACCCCAAATATACAAAGCAAATCTCCTTAGACCAATCAAAATATCACATGTATTCTGTGTACCAGCCATGTAGTAATTTTCAGAAGTGAAGTAATCCACTTTGCGGCCTTGAGGACTTCCCCAGCTTGTCTGTGCTCCTTTTTTTTTTCTTCTTCAAAGCTGTGCTGTGGGTGACTGCTGGGCATAATGCAATTTGGCGGCGTGATAAACCAGGAGAGATGAAGAGGAACGGTGGAGCAATCTGTGATGGTAATCTTGGCCTAAGATGACTCTTTTGCAGGGTGCTGAAATTGCGCATGGATTAAGCAGATGGTGGAATGTGAATCCATCTGATAGGATTAAACTTTGGTGCCTCCTCTGCCGCCATCTGTTCCCTTACGCTGTATGCAAGCGTACGCGCGCTCGCTCTTACACCCATCTCAGATACAAGCACAATAGCATTCTCTTCTACACACTAACATTCTCGAGCCCTGCAGACACCTCTTTCCACCACAGTGCGTTTGTGACATGACCTCACGTATTGGTGCCCTCACTTTACCCTCGTCTCCACAGCCCAGAGCAATCAACACACATGCACGCCATATCTGACAGAACAGGCTCATTAGCTGGAGGGGAGTGGAAATGGTTTAAAACTGACACAATAATGGACAAGAGTGGCTAAGCAGGGGTGAGAGAAGGGAAGTGTGCTGTTGGTTATTAGAAGGCCATATTTTGTGTTGAAGAAAAACTTACAGAATTCTGTGGAATGGATTTAAATGTAAATATGGTAAAATGTGTTAAATAGATTGGGAGTGGAAAGCATTATTATATTAGCTAAAATAGTTCACAAAAAAAGAGAAAATATATTTATCTTCAGGCCATCTAAGATACAGATGAGTTTATTTCTTCAACAGAAATTTAGCATTACATCACTTGCTCACCAATGGATCCTCTGCACTGAATGGGTGCCGTCAAAGTGAAAGTCCAAACAGCTGATAAAAACATCACAATAATCCACAAGTAATCCACATGACTCCAGTACACTGATTAACATCTTGTGAAGTGAAAAGCTGCATGTTTGTAAGAAACAAATGCAAGTCCATAATCCATAATAATGCCTTCCCATCCACAAATGTTTTGACCAACATATTTGTTTAGAACTGTTTTGGACTATTTTCTCTTGTAAACAGTGCTTGATCTGAGCATATTTCTCTCCTGTTTCAGACGAGACAACTTTTTCACTGCAGAAAGCAATATTATGGATAGAGGACTTGTATTTTGGCCGGAATCAATGGTTTAAAGTTATTGTTTATAACAAACATGATTTCATTATTCAATGGACCGGAGTCCTGTGGATTACTTTGTGATGTTTTATCAGCTGTATGAACTCTCATTTTGATGGCACCCATTCACTGCAGTGGATCTATTGGTGAACAAGTCATGTAATGCTAAATCCGATGAAGAAACAAACTCATGTACATCTTGGATGGCCTGAGGGTGAGCAAATTTTTGGGTGAACTGTTCCTTTAATAAGATCATACCAAGGGGCAGGAATGTGTAGCACACAGTGAATGACAGGTGTTTCAATTTCAAGTGGAATTTAGTTACTACAATAACTCTGTATTGAATTTTGGAGCTCTGACATTGGAGTTTCTGCATTGCCCTCCATGAAAAAAAAAATATATGTGCATGTCAGGGTTTTATATTAGACATAATGAGGAATTACAATATAAGCCTGTCTGTCTCTGGAATTATCCTATACTTTCTTTTGGAAAAAAGAGAAGGAAAGAAAAATAATAAATCTCCACATATTTTCAAATTTGTTCAGGCTTTAGAAAACTGACTTTTTTAATTTTCTCCGTGCAGTGGAAACTGTGCTTAAACACTGAAGACGTCCCCAGGAGAATAGAGAGGACTTAATCATCAGCATCATCATCATCAAATCATCATCATTCAAATCCTCAGTTTCTCATCATAAGTAGAGGTTAACAGTCCAACTGAAAAATATGTTCTTCTCTAGAATCATCCCAAACATAAATGAGAAAATGATTGGATTTGATTGCGGCTGAGGATCAAATCAGTGCTCAAATCATGTCCACATGTTATTAGACAGATTTAGGAGGGCCGCACCATAACCTGCAACACTGGAAGAGGACAGCAGATAAAGCCACATGCCATTCAGAAAATAAATGCTCGGGGCTTAAGCCTTAGAGGTCTCATAAGACACATGTTCAAACCTAAAGAGAACAGGCCACTTGGGGAATGCTGCATTCACTGCTCTTTTCTTAGCCCTGGTGCATTGTTGGTGCTTTACTGCACAGTTAGTGTTGGTATGCTGTTTGTTAGTCAAATGAAAGCCAGGTTAGCTCAAACCACCTTTAATATTTGGTAGTGTTCGTGGCATTAAAACATGACAGCAGCACATAGACGTGCTGACTCTGAGTCATTGTAAGTTGATTAAATGGTCACAGTTGTCTTTCAGCCAGTGGAGAGTCAAGAGTTTCGTCTGTGCTCAACTGCACCCTGGATCATTAAATAATAAAGTGTGCAAACTAGTTGAAAGTAGTCTGGAAGGGTAGTGTGAGATACTGTAGCGATTAAAGCTCTGGGCTGGATGAAAGGTTTCAGGTTCAAATTCATGAGTTATACTGAAAAAAAAAATCCTTTTTCTTAAGGTCCTGGCACAAGATTTTGTGACCAAAAAGGTCCATTGTCAGTAATTAGGGACGTATGAAGCACAGCTCACACAGAAGTCACTTTAATGAAGCAGCTTTCTGTTACTTAACATGGCAAACTCAGCATGACCAACTGAACCCGATGCAAAATCTGTGTGGGCAAATATTTCACCTCACATAAAATTCCCAATTGGACAGATTCCTGTCGAAATTACAGCAAAAATGTTTTGAACAATGGTAAATGTGACTGCACCTTTAATCAGTATTTTTTTCTTGCTTTCCAATAGAATTATCTAAATATCCTTAAAGCAAGATACATTTATTAAGTTAAATTGCATATGAAAGTGAAAAAGTGACGTGACATGTGGCCAAGTATGGTGACCCATACTCAGAATTAGTGCTCTGCATTTATCCCATCCAAAGTGCACACACACAGCAGTGAACACACACACACACACACACACACCATGAACACACACCCGGAGCAGTGGGCAGCCATTTTTTGCTGCGGCGCCCGGGGAGCAGTTGGGGGTTCGGTGCCTTGCTCAAGGGCACCTCAGTCGTGGTACTGAAGGTGGGAGAGAGCGCTGGACATTCACTCCCCCCACCTATAATACCTGCCTGTACGAGACTCGAACCCACAACCTTTTGGGTTACGAGTCCGACTCTCTAACCATTAGGCCACGACTTCCCGTCAGTATGGTAATGGTAATGGTAATGGTAATGGTATGGTATGGTAATAAGAGAATAGATCTTGAAATACCCTGATTTTCTTACCCCCTTGGCATATGTGTGTATATATATACTGTATATATGGTCTTAAGCATAAGTCACACAAAATGCTCTACGATGTCTACGCTTAAAACAAGAAAATACAAACACTTTATCTGTATTAAATATATTTATATAAGTGTAATGGACAATAAGACAAAAATAATGCTCAAAATAATAGCTTTTACAGTGTATTACGATTGTTTCAATTAGCAAATCACTCCAGGTTTTTCCAGTGGGACTGACCCTGTTGCATTTGTAATTTGTTGCATGTGAACTTGTTGCCACTGTTCAACATTCCCTGACTTGTTATACCCACTAGGTCATATCTGCAATTTTAAAGCTTTTTTTTCATATCCCCTTCATATGCTGAGACAACTATAAGTAAGTTAACAGTGAACATTGTGGGTTTGTAACACTATGATACTTGTTTTGTCCTGATCATACAAGACTATAAAGACAATTGAAGATGAGGGAGGGTTCAGGAAACCTGAAATCACTATTTTTGCAATACCGTTTGGTGACAGTTAGTTGGTTAGAAATGGCACACTTCAGCTTTAAGCTGTGTCTGTAAGTTTATAAGTTGACGTAAGGGAAGAGTACAGCGCTAGCCATGATGGGCAACCATCTGTGCTCATGAAGCCAAACCATGAAACTACATAGCTGTGGGCAAATAAAAGAGTTGGTTGTGAGGGAAAGTATAATGAAGGAAAGTTTACATTGGGTCGCACTACATTACACTACGTCTTTTATTCCTGCAGACTGTTTCTTCCATTTGTCTCATTTTTTCTGTCACTATACGAAAAAAAAATTGATATAAAGAGTTTGTGTATATCAATATGAAACACGTGTGTTCTTTAATTCTCAACAAACCGCATGTAAACATACAGTGAGTACACTCACCGTGTTCCAGGTATGATGGATTGCCTTCAGATGGGTCCAGCCTGCGAGCTCTGCGTCCATGTTTAGAGTTATTGTGAACAAACATGTTATCAGACACAGCCAGGACGTGTCCATCCACGCTCACCGTCGTAGACACCACCACCTGCAAGAGACAAATGCCGACTGTACTTCACTTGACCCGCAAAGACATACTCTGTATGTATATTTGTATACAAATTAATACGTAGCTCAAACAAACAGCTGAAGTGTTGGGGCAGCACATACACACGGTATACCTGTAAGTAACTGCTGACTGATAAATTGACGAACAGGCACATTTCACCAGAGAGCCTGGAACAATGACAGCAGCTAACAGCTCTCACAGAGCTGAAAACGTAGACTAGAAGTGTCCCACAGCAACTGAGGAGCCTCTTGATTTAAATGGCTCTCAGGCTTTGAGAGGTCTCTCAATCTCAAGAGAGGAAGAGGCTTGATGAGACTTGGCAAACACCGTTTACATTATCCCTGTTCTGGGCAGCCACTTCATTCACTCAAAGCTTTCTTTTTCTCTCTCTTCTCTACATCCATATCTCTTTATATATTCTCTAGTACTCACACTTTATCTGTTAAGAAAACCTTTCATTGGTCAACCATTCATATATTTTTAGTGAAATACACTGGATTGTCAATTGAAAAACCGAATTTATAAGGGCCATGTTTCGTAATATATATATTCAATGATTTCAATGCTTATCTTAATTTAAGGTGTTTTAAATATTATTTAAATATTGAATGTATTTCAGATATTGATAAAAGTGATTTATTGTATTTAAAGCTGATTAATCACCATGTATTATGTAATTAATTCATTTAAAAAAGTTAATCAATTGATATCTCTGAAATATATTACATTTCATGTCATTTCAAACTATTTAATTGTTCATTAACTACTTAATTGTTGAGTATTATTTAATATAATAATGATTTTAATTTTATTAATGGACATTTTTATAGTGTTGCCATTTCACGCAGCAAGCAATGCAAGTGCAGCTTATCCACTAACATACATGGTTAAAATTGCAATTTTGCCACTTTAATTTGGTTGAATGTGGTCCTACCTGAAATCGCCGCATGTCTCGTGGGTTCCCTGCATTCTTTAGGCAGTTCTGGTTGCATTTGAGGAAGAATTTCAGGAAAAACCTGGAAAAACACAGAATAACAGAATTTATGAGGTAAATCTGTTTTGTTTTAATCTAGACTGTGGTGTGAGAATGAGGTAAAGATTTCAGTGTTGTGTGGTACTGACACTGACAGCATTAGATCTAATATTTGTTGTTAACATACTTTTCTGTATAGACTTTTACTATTCTGTGCATTCATACTATAAGGTCACAGCTCCACGTTTATTCACACGCACACACTGGTCTTAGAAATGAAGCACAGATCATCTGTCGAGAACCCAGAAACAGGTCAGTCAGAGAAGGAGAAGAAAGCAGGAGAAAGATCAAGAGAGATCGAAGTGTGATGTTGAGGTCACTCCAAAGCGCAATTAGACTCACAATAGTCACAAATCCAGCGAGATTTCCTCATAAAGGAACCATAGTAGAATCCTTATCAACTATTAATCAGAGATGTATAAATTCAGCAGCTAGACGCACCTACTAAAATTCCCAGGGGAACATCCAATATTGTGAATATTACTGTGCCATTCATCAATCAAATTAATAATGTGTGTCAAATTATTTGTAAGTGTTTATTATTTATGGGTTTTAAGAACAGTGTTTTTTATGCTGAATCCAGTGGGCTGTCAAATCTTGTATGGCTGTGATTCAGTGTGTTTTCCCTCCTTCTCTGTGGTCTGAAATCTACAATATTAATTAGCACAGCAGTTTCTCTCTTTTTTCTTCATTCATGGTTTTCCGGTTCACTGCACTGGTATAGTTGAGAACCAACGTCTGTCTGCAGCATCTATCCACTATTATATCTGCTGTCTGTCACTACTCACACAAATGCATTGACACTCAGTGAAGGCAACTTCTAAGAACTTTTACTGAGCTGTCAAAAGCGGGACATACTATAGAAGTCTAATGTTTTTATATTTTACATTAGATTTCTAACCTCAAAGTCAAGCCATAACAG